TTGCGCAAAACTCCTCAAGAATTTTAATCTGACCGCCCGCTTAGTCTGTTCTAATACTTTTGTCATAGCCCAACACTTACAAACTTTTAGTCACTCGCTTATGTTTTGTTGGGTGTTTCTTGTTCTTAGCATTCTCCCTAAAACTCTGAATTAAAAGGTTGTTACTTTCTCCTCTTCTTTCTGACATTTTATTTTGTTATGCTTTCGTAACTTTCTTCAATCAATTTCAATCCTCTTTAATGTTTGGGATTAATTGACGTGTTCTTAGCCAATGAGCATACTGAAGTTGTGCATGCACATTATTAAACTCACGAATCGTGCATTTTTTTGCATATTTTCCCAACTACTGAGAAAGCAACAATAAAACAAAACAAGCAATCAGATTAACTTCAAGGCCTGTTGGAGTAACCAATCAAATTAGGGGAAAATACAAACACAAATACAAATACGTGTTCAAGATTTTGTAACATATGTCCCCAGACCATTTTTAAAATTCATGATAACACTTTTGATAAAATTTTACATTTTGTGATTTCATGGTTGTAATAGAGTGGCAATTGAGCTGATTGGGATTCACTTTGGTCTGAAATAAGGATATACTTCGGATTTAGATCAAACTCGTTCGATTTTTGTAATCACGCGTATGATTTCAGACCAAATTGCACTCTACTTAGTTCAACTAGGTTATATTCCAAAAATTCCATTTCAGTTCATTAAAATAACGCTATCTGCAATAATCCATTTTACATTTCTTCTTTATTTCTAAAACACTGGATAAACGAAATATACGCCATGATGAAGGAACAATCCGAGATCCTCAAGGCAATCGGTCGCCGTCAAGGGGTGGAAGATACTGCATCAAACAGAAAGAGTATTATTGAGGCTTAGAGTATTATATAAGGCTTTTAAACTTTTAACTTAAAAGTCAACAGTTGAACATTAAAAACATAACTTCAAAAAAAATGCAGATGATATTTGATGGAAGACACGAAGAATCTTTAATTTACTTTCTCTCGTCTAGTGCTGTAAATTGATGTAATGCAGTTGAATATGTTCTGTGCATGTTAAAACAACGATAAAAGAACTTAGTAATGGTTGTGCGTGTTTCTCTTTGTTTCCGTCTTTCTCAAAATTATCACTGTCATAAAGACAAACGTTTATTCTGCGTATCTGTATCACGTTATCAAACACGATGATGTTAGGGAAAAGGGGCGTTTATTACATTGTCAATAATAAATGACAGCTTTAACTACAAAAGTACACTGTTTTGTCAACATTTTTCCTTAGCTAATGCTGAAATGATTTTGAAGATTAATGAGAAGTTCAAGCTGATTTGTTACTAAGTGTAGAAGTTTGTAACATTATATTGCTGCTTGAATTGTTAAATATATCACTGTCATAAAGACAAACGTTTATTCTGCGTATCTGTATCACGTTATCAAACAAGATGATGTTAGGGAAAAGGGGCGTTTATTACATCGTCAATAATAAATGACGCACACATATAGAACTTTGCTACGAGTATTTTACGACTGCAAAGGTTTGTCAAAATGACATGTTACGCAGTTACTTATTAATTGTTCAAATATTTTGAGGCGTTTTTTCACTCATTTTCCAAGAAGTGAGCCATTCATCTGCATTATAGAGTAGCAAGGATAGGGGTGCTTTTCCCTTTGCCACATTGTTTAATGGCGTGCGTTTTTCAAATTATTAATGCCCGTGGGAAGTTTGGGGAGCACTCAGAGTGATTTTCATCGCGCCTTTGAAACAAAATCCAACAGTAGATGCTTAATAAGGATATCTTTGTCGTTGTCACTGTGTCTGTCACTGTCTCTGTTACTGTCCCTGTCACTGTCGTTGTCTCTTTCACTCTTAATGTCACTGTTACTCTGAACGCCAATTTCACTGTCACTGACAATTTTAGTGCCAGCGTCAGTGTCGCCGTCACTTCTCTTTTGGTATCTGTCACTGCCACTATTGGTGTCACTGTCTCTCTCTTTATCTTTGTCCTTGCTACTGTTATTTTATCATAACTGTCTTTGGTACTCTCACTTTCACTCCAATTCACCCTGTCACTGTCACTGGCTTTATCACTTCAATGTTACTTTGTTTGTCACTGTCTTTGTGACTGTCTTCGTCAATGTCTCTGTCTTTGTCTTTGTCAATGTCACTTTTACTGTTATTGTCTCTTTCCATGCAATTGACAGTGTCACTTCATTGTCCCTTTGAGTCACTCACTTTCACTGTCTTTGCCTCTGTTACTGTCAACGTCTCTGTTGTTGTCACTGTCTTTGTCACTGTCTGCCAACGCAAGAGAAATGTTAGACCGCTAATTAAGATGTTGAGACCTGTGGGTTAGCATAAGTAGCTCATTTATTTCATTTATCGTGATCCCCACTGTCATCACTATTTTTTTTTTGTCATTGTCACTGTAGGTCACCGTTACCTTACCTGTTACCGTCTCTGTCACCTTCATTGTAACTTTCCTACCACTTTCTCTGTCTGTCACTATCTGGCCCACTAATATTTTTTTAACCGTTATTGTCGTCGTTATTGTTTCAGTCATTGTCATTGTCATCGTTAAAGTCATTCAGTAAATTGTCTGAACACAGTGAGTGAATATAGTGTTGATAGTTGCTGTTGTCGAAAAGTCAGTCACTTATTCCGACAACAATCCTTCTTAGGAGTACCCTCAGCCGAACTTTCATCCTGTCGCTGTGACAGCCGTAGACAAAATCGCAAAGCGAGTGAAAACTCACCACGTTGGAATCTTTTTTTGTGATACTTGCAGTTTCTCTCTGTGTCGTAGAGCTCTTCCTCAAGTTTCTGTCGCTTGGTAATGCCATTCTTCGAAGATTCGTCTAGCGCTCGTTTTCAGTACAGTAATTATCCAGCTCGTGATAAAATAACTTGACAGAATAAGTTTGGTGGCGCCATTTGTTAGTGAGCCTCTTGACACCGAAACCTCCACTTTTCCTCTTTTCTCGCTTTAGCTTTGCACACATGGTCCCAATCTTTTTCCCTAAGACATTTGTTATTCGATTGTTGACGACGATGCCTTTAATGCACGTTTGTTGCATGGTTTTCTCCACAACTGCAGCGAAGGAAGATTCGCCACCTTCCTCTCCATCTCTTTGGCAATCGTGTAAAGAAGATAGCTGAAAAATTGATAAACACAACCGATATCTGACATATTCGAGACTTAGTGGCAACAAAATTTTAGTATTATAAGAAACTCCGTATCTCTGAGAACGAAAGGAAAAAAATCAAATCGCTTAATTTATTTATGAGAATGCTTACTTTTTAATTCTGCATGGAAACGAAGGTAACAAACGGCTGGGAAATCTTGTTTTTGGACCCTCTGATCTTTCTCCCACGGCTTTTACGGATCCGCGGAAGACCAGAAGTAAAACCAGTGAGAATTCTCCAACTTGAGCGGCCATTTGACCCATCTAAATCGGTTGCAAACTAGACGAATTATATACCAAGATAAAAGAAACAATTGGCGGCACAACTGAGATTCAAACATGCGCGAAAGAGTCAGGACCCATTCTTAAGCGCCAATCGTAATACGACACTTCGAACGCCTTCGAAATTGCCTAATCGTAATTTTGAAAATGAATTTTGACCCATTAAATCCAAAAGCTTTGGTATTTAAAAATAACATGTAGAGTAGCTTTAATATTCGTCTTCTAAATTTTGTCGGTAAAATTAATCACTATCAAAACGTCTCTTAGTGATCCAAAGGTTCCAAATTTTGTGTGTTCTTGAGTCAGACACATGTTGTGATATAGTGAACATATATATTTGTAATAATATCTGACGGAAGGTTTGTTATACAAAATTTTATTAAATCAGGTGAGATATATATCATATCTGACGAGTTTCTTATACAAAATGTCCACCTTATAAGAGACAACTATTAGCACAATGTTATGACTGTTAGGTGGCTTTCGGGATAAAGAAAATGGATATCGCGATTCTGGCTGACTCATTAAAAAGTACTACACTAAGGGAGAGGGGCATTAAGATAAAACTGATTAATAAGCGGCTGGAAAAGAAAGGCGTTTGCTCTTCAAGAAATAATTTTGTTATTATCAGCTGTGCGAAAGAATTCATTATCAAAAGCAAGGTCATTTTACTAAGAAGACAAATTAAAAGAGCTAGTTCAGTAGAAATCAAGCGTGATCATCGGCAGAAAAATAAATTTTCGTTGTACCATGATCAGACCAGTCCTAGAAAGGAGTATTTTGGGTAAACTCGGATGTTTAAAAGGCTTTGCGCGACGACCATGCGATACAAAGTAAACCTTATCGTACTAAGTTTGTTTTATTTCCTTTACTGTTGCAGTGATATCAACAAAAAGTTTACGCCCTTTTATTAATTCACTGGAGACCCACAGCATCAAAGAGTCGCGTTTTTGTTTCAATGTTCGAGTGTCCATTCTCGTCTTTTCGCGCTTTCCTCTCAGTACATTTCATCTATAATTATATGAAAATGAAATTTCTTTCAATGAAAAGACTATTTTAAAAACGTACTTGAATTTTACTCAGCAATCTTGACAACTTTGCACAGAAAATAACAACTTTCTCTGAACTAGCACCGCCAAAAACGGCGAAAAAAAAGAAAAACTGGCGAAATTAATTAAATATATAATATAGAATATATAATATACATATAGATGGCTGACATGTAATAGGTTATACAATGTCCTGTTTTCATTATCTGTATTTAAGTCCTGCAAAATCTATAATCACATGAAAAATGAAATTTCTCTCAATAAAAAGACTATTTTAAAAACGTACTTGAATTTTACTCAGCAATCTTGACAACTTTGCACAGAAAATAGCAACTTTCTCTGAACTAGAACCGCCAAAAAAACGCGAAAAAAAGAAAAACTGGCGAAATTAATTGAAAAATATAATGTAGAATATATAATATAGATATAGATGGATGATATTTTAATAAGTTATGCAACTTCCTTTTTTCATTATTTGCATTTAAGTTCTGCGAAATATATTTCGCAATATGTCCTTGATAGATCGTCGGATGTCTCTCATTTTCCAGCAATAAATTACTGGATTTAGAGTTGAATTTATAAACATTAGTGTGTGAGAGAAATAAAACAAATTTTTCGAAATTAAAAAGTCCTTAACTATTTCTCCGGCAAGAAAAGTACAATAAAATGGCAAATAACAGGCTAAAAACACAAAATATACATAAAATATGCTGACCGCAGATTTCCTCAGCCTCGAGGCATTTGCCAAGTCACCATTCTGTGCTGCTTGTTGTACTTGTAAAGCTTGAATCTGGTTTGCATGGTGTCTAACTGCAAAGTAAAGTCTGACGCTTATAACAGTTATGAAAATGAAGCATAGACTCCAAATGATGATTGTGATATTGATAAGCTTTTTTATTTCATCGATCCAAACGTAAAAGAGTGGAAGAAGAGCACTGAACACCCATGCTGAAATTGCCTGACCAAGAATGCGCTTGTGAGTCACAAGTTCCTGATATCTAAGATGAAGATGAACGGCTAGGAATCTGTCCAAACTTAGAGCGACGATACCGAGGAACGAAGCGTTCGCGAGTGCCAATTGGATTACCCACAACATCTTGGGAAGAGTTTTGAAGAAAATATTCAAGTTCACAATGAAGAAAGGCTGAGCAATTAAACCAACAGCGACATCAGAAACGGCAAGACTCAACAGCAACGTTTTCAGAGGTTTTGGTAAAGAGGGAGTTTTCCTTATGGCTTGAATTGTTAAACTATTGAAAACGATTGCTGTAAATGCTGTGAAGGCGTTCACGACGATAATGATGTACTTTGAAGTGGATAGGGCTTCAACATTTGCCATTATGAACAATAATTATCTTAACCTGATCGTTTACGTGAAAAATTGTACGGCAAACTTTCCCCCCGCCAATTCTAAGCCTAATAAATTGATCCTAGAATACGACCAGGTGGTTAAAACGCTTTCTTAATTCGTCCGCCGTTTAATACAAAATGAAGCAAAGCATTCTGTTGTCATCTGTTTTCTCCATATATCATAAAATTACGCGAGTGCTTTGTGCTCTTGCGTATTTAAGGCAGTAATCTCCCCCGATTGCTAAAATTAAAGACTTGATATTGAAAACGTTTAGCCTGCGAACTGAAATTCTAAATAATTTTTCATTCCAAACAGTCTTATTAAGGTTGAAAGCTGAAAGCTTGTTGGTTTGAATATGCATGCAAATGTTTAGTGCCTACGCCGAGCCAGATGTCTTAAGCTGCTTCACAAGGAGACAGAATGAAGGCTGACAACATGGAATACGAAAAAGTCCCTTCCATGAAATAGTATTACTCAATGTGTTTCCAATCTACTCAATCATTTTTTGTGATATTATCCCTCGTTTCGATCGCAAGTCTTTACTCCCCATCCAGATTGGCAACGTGACTAAAACAAGGTAAAAATAGACGAAGAAAAAGGGAGAAAAAAAGACGATATATATAAATAATGATTGTATTGAAAAAGTGAAAACAATTTCTACGACATAAGACTGATGAATTTTTTATAGATCGTCAAAACATTAATGATGCTGTCCACCAGGAAAGTGGAAGTAGACAGGTTAGTGTCACTTTCCCACATTTAACCATTTACATAAAAGGGAGTCTAAGTTAAATTGCATGTTTTTCTTTTAATTTGTAACAGATAACTGCTTTGCTGTAAAGTTAAATATAGAGCAACGAATAAACAACTTAATTTTTTTTCTCAGTGCTTGAGCGGGCGGTATTCTACAAATCCTTCAATCTGATTGGTTCTAAGAGCGGGCAGTATTCTCCCATCTGGCCCGCGCACAGCGGGCGGAACCCTATCCGTTGCGAGTTGAGTCGCGGGTACATCCCAACTTTTGTTGCAAGTTTCTATAAACATATTTTGTTTTGCCGGCTGAGCAACAGCTTTGGGCTTCAGTTACGACCTATAGCCGAAAAAGAAAACTGAATTGTTAATTTCCTCCTCTCTCTCTAAAAACAATTGGATTCGAAATTAATGTTGTAGTAACAAATGTTTTTACGTGGCCCAAAGACCGTTGGAAACTTAATAATCCTTCACAAAAAATAACATAGAAAGTAAAAGGCAAGTTTTGGCTGCTTTATGAATGGACAACAGCCGAATCCAGAGGAACATGAAGATTTCTCAAGGTAACGGCGCAGCAAAACTCGGCTGCTGTGTTTGATGTGGCTTTCCGCTCAACACATCGGAAAGGATATCAGAGTAAGCTCTTAGTTGTTCACTCGAAGGGCGGCCGATGTAATTTCTGAGGCCTGCTTCACTGCGAAGACCGTAGTTAGCTGTGTTTGAGGTTTTATTACCGTACGTAAGCTTACAATCTTATGCCTGGTTCACACGTAGGATGTAACTGCAAATGCAAACGCTATCGCAAATGCAAGGATTTACACGTGAACTACCCCAACGCAAATGCAAATGCAAGCGACAACGCAAAGAATGAAAACACATTCATTTTCTTTAACTTGCAACTGAAAACACAACGCGTAAACCACAAGTTCAATCGTTTACATGCCACCACGGCTAGTTCAACATAAGATGGCGTCGACGTCATTTTTCGACAAAAGTTTTCCGGAATTTGAAAGATAAATAAAAAAAACAGTCTTCCTTGGAAAGATGTGGTCAGAAAGTGGTTCTAAAAGACAGTAAGTTCTACAAATGAATGTAAACATGAACAGCAAATACATCGTCGGTGCAGTAATACGATGACTCTCGAACTATTTAGTAAACAGTTGAAGGATAAATACTCTCCTTAAAGCAGATATGATGACCAGTAAAAGAATGGATGGCATTGCAGAGCATCGTTTGCAATGTTTTTCTTGGATCAAATGACAAGTAACATGATGTATCATGGCTGAGTTAACAAATCAGCGATAGTATCAGAAACTTTAGGACTCAAGAGCAGTATTTTGAAAGGTGCCAGTAAAGATAGAGTTTGCCTCATCACGTGAATTTTGTTGAACACAACAGCGGTGTAGGATATAAAGGCGTTCAAAACAAAAATGAGGATGTACGAAAATGTACGATCATTCTGTTGTCAAAAATAAAACAGTTCTGAGCGCTGCCACAGAGAATTTTACTATAAACTGACTTCCCGTTTTCGGACTGGAGATCGCGATCTTTATGAGGGAAATTTTTTTATCAGTTCGTAATTTTTTTGTGATAGTGAAACTTATGCAAACTTTAAGTCAATGATATAACCTAAAGCTGCCAACTGTCATTTTCTATACTCATAAAATCAAGAAAAAAGAGAGGCTTTTGCTCAGCAACTTTGCGCTAATGCCTGGTAATATGCCAATGATTGACCTTACCTTTTTCAGTCCAATACATTTAATAAATATATGGCAAAATAAGTGACCTTCCGGCTTTAACCCTTGAACTCCCAGAGGAGATTAACATGTAACCTCTTCCTATGATATCCACAAATCATCCCGCAAACAAGTAATGAGAATACTCAAACTTATCAGATAAAAGCTTCAACCTTGATCTAATATCAAATTTTTGTAGCTAATTTATAACGAAATTTGAAGCAGCTACAAGTGAGAATTAACAATCAGATCTTGAGAGTTAAAGGGTTAATGATATTTCAACCGGTTTAAGCTCAGTGTTCGTATATCGAAGTAAGGATTGTTCGATCACGCTTTTGAATACCTGTCGCAATTTTTCGTGTCACAAACTGTTTTATAAATTTGGTTTCGATGATCGAAGGGCGAACAGAACCAAATTTCTCTTTAAACACAGGAAACCTTTCGTGCTAACTAAGCCGTGAAGCAACTTCAGACTTGTTAAAATTTGCTCTCAATCATCCTTTCTAATCGGAAACAACGATTATATTTTAGAGTATTAGAGCAATGAGTACAAGAGGGCTCCCAGACACTTTTAACTGCTGTGAAATTAATTACACGAATTGAAGCAAATACCAGCGATGTTTTCTGGAAAAATAATTTTAAACTTCGCTAACTCATAAATCATTTCAGCAAAGCTTCCCTACCCTTTTCTGAAACGCTAGTTCATCGAGTCACTGTGTTTCACGCGTATTTCGCTCAGGAGCGTTCATAAGCACGTTACAGCGAACGAATCAGATTGCTTGAAACACAAGATCGCTGATTGGGTATATGAATATTCACCGCTACGACAATTTTTTCCATGCCGTGTCAACAACGTGTAACAACCTTTGCTCTGGAACAAGGAACTTAATTTCGTGAAAATGTTTCAATGAATTAAAGCGTGATATTGAACACCATACTGACACTCTTTGTAATTATAAAAGTTCTGTTCAACATCATTCCATTAAAAGAACAATCGATGAGAGCAAGATAACAGCGTTTTTGCCCACTTGCACGGTTTATAGATGGAGTCTCTCGTGGTAAGACATAATTTTTTCGATTGTTATGACCCGTAGTCAAGATTTGTGACAATTAATTTTTCAGTAACTTGGCCTCAGTCTCACCTCTACAATTAAGAAAAAAACCTAAATAGATAGATATATCTTTTTGTATCACACCATTTGTGTAAACCATTTGTATAATTTACCTCTCTATGCAAAGTCGGGTTTTGATTCTATAGTGCACTAAGCCTTTTTTTTCCGCCGAATGATTTAAAAACGGGAAATTACCTCATAATCTTTATTCCATGCTTGTTAATCACAGGTCAACAGGAAGGTCGCTGGAAAAGTCGAGTGGACTGTTTGTCTTGTGGTGCTAGTTTGTTCCTTTAATGGAAAAGGTAGGTTTGATATATATACAGTTGTCAATAAAAGCCTGTATCTTTTGCAGAAAGTTACTTCAAGAAGTATTTCATCGAGGAAGGTCCTAAAATATCAAGTATTGTGCAGCTAAACGCTTTCGACTCAAGAATTTATTTGCTGGGGATAAACTGGACCCATTCTTATTGGAAAGGTGTATAGATTATTTATAGATTACCCCTCCAACATGTTGGACAATAAACCAGTACTATTTTACAAACCTTAGCGGTGAAGCATTGTTCGAGACGAGAGTCTTTCCCAGAGAAGACAAAACTCTGTTCCGGCACAACCAAGGCTCAAACCTCGATCCTTTCGATCAGAAATTCAGCCCTTCCACGCTTTTAGTTGGTACATAGCAGCGAGATGAATTGAGTTGAATATTAGCAGTTAATGAAAAACGGTCTTTGATATTAAAACAAAATCCTTTATTTTTTCGTAAGCACAAACACGTTTTGTGCCCAACTCAGGGTTAAAATGACCCCTAAAAGGGCCAAAAACATATATATATATATACCCAGTAACATAAACTGTATCACTATTGTTATCTCTTTGGAAGGCATTAGAAAATAAGAAATGAAAAACGAAATGACAAAAAAAGGCAGTCTGAACAAACACGCGAGAGTGCGAGAAATACATTTTAGCCCGCTAAAATCTCCATCAAATTTTAGCACGCCAAATGCGCCACAATGCCCAACAAAGTGATTATAACACCTGTTTTATGAGCCCGTTTGAGACCCTCGATGGAATTTAACAAGCGTAAGGCTCGTAAGCTGTTTCCTTTTGTATTGGGTATTTTGATCAGAACATAAATGATCTCTTTTCTGCACTGTAGGAGTAATATGAAAAGTTTAGAGAACTTTCTGTTCTTGTTTTCTTATCGTTTAGAGGTTTGATTATGGTCGTGCATCGAGGTATATCGTTTTATTTCAAAGAAATTTGAACGGACCTTTAGAAAGCTTTACTGACATGTACTTGACTACAGTCGAAAAGTACTTGACGCGCGACGGAATATAGAGTCAGACTTGGTCGTTTTTATTACCGCTTGACCATCAAGTTCTGTTGTTTCGCTAAATACATAGCTCTTCATTTTAAAAGACCAATCGTGAGACACGTAGGTATAGCAAGGAAGCGTTAATGTGTTGATTAGAATGGGAAAAAAAACGGGGAGATTATTCTGAGCGAGTCGCGCGTACTTTGGACGCTTCCGCCTACTGTTAGACAGAAGAAATAGAAAGTAATTCAGCGTTGAATGTTAGTTTTACTAACTAATGTGAAATCTAAGTTGGCATTTAGCCATATGCATCAATAATATGATGAAATGAGATATTTCGTAAAATGTCGTTAAGAAACGCTTGAGCGAACGATCCAAAAGCAACATGAGCACAACACGATAACGAGACCATCTTTGATCGTTCCACCAGTCCGAGATAACATTGATATCTTGAGATCAAATAGCATGGCAGTCGACAACCTCACATGAATCCCTGGTGTTGCTAACAACCTGATTATTGTGCGTTCTCTTTCGTCGACCGCTAAATTGCAAAAATTAAAATCTTTTTATTCATTTTAGGTCAGGATTGTGGAAAACAGTTTTCTGATGACACTACGGAAAATTCATCCAAGCGTATTATGGGAGGGCAAAGTTGTCATGTGTCCCGCTGGCCATGGCAGGTAGCACTGATCTCAGATGGTGAACAAGTCTGTGGGGGGTCTCTGATAACCTCTGACTGGATTGTGACTGCTGCTCACTGTTTCGATAAAGGTATATCATGACACATGCTCCTCTCAAACTCATTGATACATTCGTGGTTTTGGATCTAAAAAGAAAAAAGAGGCATAATGAAAAGGTAAAGAAAGTGAAAATTTCCTTAAGTCAGACCTTATTCCGATGTTCCCAAGAGCCTTTCACTTCGTAAAAGTACTGTTCGCACGGGTGAGTCATGTCAAAGCACACCTTTAAAAAAATTATCATTTCAAAGTAAAATTACATTAAAAATCTCCCGAATTTATTAACAGCTATGATTTTAGGAAATGATGGAACACTGAGAGGTCTCTCAATACAGTTGTATGTAGCATAATCAATATACTCAGTGCAATTGGAGAACTTATCACCTTTATTGCGACGGCGAGTCAAAATATTGATATTCACAAGAGTGTGATGATTAACTAGGTTAATTCTCTTGGAAGTTCTTTATGGCTAAAAAAGAAAAGGTGTCTGTGGCCACTCCACCTTGATTCCCGACCACAGAGGGCCAACGCTTCCAACACTGTATAGATTTGAAAATCCACCTCACCGATCCTGATTTTTCTGCGACCTTATCAATCTCCATTTTGCTAACAAGGCATAATTTCTTCTCTCACAGATGCTATCCCAACTCACTGGAGTGTTATAGCAGGTGAACGCAATTTAAAAGTGAATGGATCTCTCAAAAGAAGCTTGGAGATTTCTAATATCTATCTTCACCCACAATATACATCCAACGCACCAACGTACGAGTTTCCGTCGGACTATGACGTTGGTGAGTAGAATTTGAAGGAAAAAAACTAGAGAGCAGAATGGAATACAGAATTATATTTTCTTAAAGGAAAGCCCAATGATAACCAGGTCAACGTACATATGCAACCTACAGAAAGTTCTTACATACCTGAAAGGGATATTCTTCTCAGGTAGAGCGCTGCAAGTGTGCCTCATACATAAATTGAGTTTTTTAATCAGTTAGTTTTTAGTAAGACTAAGAGGGCATAGAATATGAATAGAAGTAGATTAAGGATTATTAAAAAGTCGAAAACTGGTGGAGGTAGGGGAGAAAGGGAATGGAAGTGTGCCATCATGTCCCCTTCGTTTATTAATAGAACTTGGCAGCTCGATTAGTGAGACATGGCCTGCACTGAAGAATAGAGGTTGTAGATTTTGATTTTTATTCGTTGAATTCAATTCAAATTCAACTCACTGATAAGCCAATATATGGATGACCTATAAATTTGGTTAGTTTTATGGCTTATAACTTTTTAAGTTGGAGGAGAAATAGCGGGGAGGGGACGCTATGTTTAATCGAGCGGGTACTAATCATGTCTTGAGAGACAAAAGCTACACTTAACCACACAAAACATTAAAAAGAACCTTGAGTGCATAGGTATTTTTATATTTTTTCCCTCAGCCATGGTTCTTTTGAAGCAAAAGTTGTTATTAACAAGCTGTACCTTTCCAATATGCTTGATGCCAAACGATGCACGTTTTCTCCCAGGCACTACATGCTACGTTACCGGCTGGGGAAGACTGGCAACTAATGGCCCTCATCCAACGATGCTTCAGGAGGCACAGGTTCCACTCGTGTCGAGGGAACTGTGTAACAACCCGGAGATTTATAACGGCCTCATACATGAAAGGGCTCTCTGCGCAGGTTCAGCTGAAGGAGGAGTGGGACCGTGTCAGTTTGACAGTGGAGGACCGCTGGCGTGTCAAGAAAGTGGGTTATGGTACCTTTCTGGCGTCGTTTCGTGGGGAGTGGGGTGCGGAGAGCCCAATAAACTGGGTGTGTACAGTGATATGAGTGTTCTGATGGATTGGGTGAAAGATATGGTTGCTACAGACGCTAGTTTCATTTGACGAAGTAAGAATGAGATTGCCTCGCTAGAGAAAACAATCTATTGTGACGTCCAATCATCATCGCCTCACAACTCTTGTCAATCCGTGATCGGATCTGAGATAAGGCATGTACTAACCATTTATAAACTAAAACGCAATCACTTCACCGAAAACCTCTGCTTAAACCTTCGGTGTGTTCACAAAATGTTGATTCAGATGCCGTAACGAAGGAGGACAGCATCCATGGGCTTTCACTAGTGGGAACCATTATTGTTGTGGCTCATCTTCACCATTAATCTGCAATTAAAACATAAGACATTTCTTTATTCACAGTAGTTAATAACATATTAACACATTTACAGGGCTCATTAAGCAAGTTTGGGATTTCAGAGCCTGTTTACATGGATGTGGGGGACCCCAGGTAGGAAAGGTAACCCGCCTAGCCGTGGTCGAAAAAATAGCCCACGTTAACATAAATCTTAAAAACCCGGGAAACCGGGCTGAATTTTTTCGAATAAAGGGGCCAAGTTTCTAAAAAAAAAATGTGGTGCTGCGTCGGTGGGAGAGTGTAACAGATAATTTAATGTTAACAACTGAGTTGAAAACGTAAATTGGCCACCGTAAAGAGTGCATATGGCAGTTTGCGGCCTTTTCCCAAGATCTAGGCAGTTCAGAAAGCCGCAAAACAGTAGAACAAAAATTTATCTTCCAAATCGGCACTTCTAGTCCCCACAGCATCAACGAGCACTTTTCATTCACCTAATTTATTCTTGTTTTCTCGTCACCATATTCCCACCAATAGCGTAGCTCCATTTCCTACATATAAATCCACACACAACCCACAATTCCTCCAATCGCCCTAACGAAGGGCTAACGCTCGAAACGTCAGCCTTTAAATTCTTTACGGTGGCCAATTCAACTCAGTTGTTAACACTAAATTACCTGAAGTTTTTCGAGGTTGTTTGTAATTAAGGAGTTTAAGATGTCACTACGGTGACGTGTTATAAAACGTTGCCGCAAAAACATAATGTATTTTCTTCAAAGATTTTGGCCAATAGCTCGATGTATTCACCGTTTCTGACGGTAAAGCGTCTTCACTTCAATATAACATGTGAATGTAGTGTTGAGCTCAAAGTAAAAAGGTAACTAAATAGCCGTCGAGGTTTCATTACTAGGAGGACGTAAAAATGGGTGTTTTCACGTTTTAGCTCTGCATTGGGACGGTTAGGAAATGTACAAAGTTTTAACACTCTGGTGTTTCGTTAATTTTGTGCTTATTTGACCTTTTTGGAACATGAACACGACCCCGGCTAGGCGGGTTACCCTACCTTGGGACGTTTACATGACAGGGTAACCCTTCTCAGCAGACCGGGCAACCGCCTAAGCGGGTCACCCCAAGTAAACGTGTTACCCCACCTGGGCGGGTTACCTCACCTACCAGGGGTTCGCCACCTCCATGTGAACAGGCTCTCAGTCGTTTAAGCTTCTTGGCTTCTAAAAGTTTGCTAACCTACAGGCGTCTTATAAAGGGCGAGTTCACATTAAGAAGTACGCGATCGTTTGTTCAATCGGCCATGTTTAATTTGGAGATAGAGGTAGTGGGTAAGAGGGTGGGGAAAGGGGAAGACTTAACTCCCCCACTCCTACCCCTCTCATTATTTTTGACCGTCGACCTCCCCTTGGTACAAATTTCTTTCTCTCCCCAGGCTTTCGCTGTTATTAAATTAAAAGATGGCGGCCATGATCTTCACTAAGGAAATACTTAGCGTTCGCTGGCATAAATTACGCCTGCTCTGCGACTAATAGTTTGCATGTTGAAGTATATTGTTAACCGCTTTACTAAAAGTGTTCGCTAGTTCGGAGTCGAGTGTTCTGGACGCTGATTAAGCTTTGGCGATGATCTCTGTGGCAGGAATGTGTTCTTAAGAGCTACACCGAAGTTCAGTCCTTTCTTTGGCTATCTCAGCATCACCTTTATAAGGTAACGGGTATCCAGTCAACCTTACCGTCTAGAGAGAACTATCGTGACTAAAGCGACGCACGAGTACTACTAGTGGCATACGAGTGCATACAAGTGACAGACGAGTACATACTAGTGAATACTGATATACATGAAGGAATGGTCAAAACATCGTGATCCACATCGGTACTGACTATAAACGAATACAAATTGGTCAATTGTTCTTAAAGCAAAAATGGTTACAGATTCAAATGAAGAAAAATTGAAACAAATTGAACCAGTTTACGATATATTTCGTTTATCTATAAAACTCTAGGTCTTTCATTTCCTTTTTTTTTCTTTTCTTGTGTATCTTTTAGTGTCTTCATATGTGCAAGTGATTATCTTTGTGTTCTCTTGAGATGTGTTCTTTCTTCATTTCTGTCTTATTTCCAGCGTGATATAATTAAGTCAAATTTTATTTAGTTAAGAAAAAAATAACATCTGTTATCTGCAGGTCAAAGAAATATCTTGTGTATATATAAGAAAATAAAATAAAATAAAAGAGTGAAAGTGTGATGGGGTACCGTTTGGAAAATATTAAACAACCGTCCGTCAATGAGACCAGCGAAGGTCATGCGAGACCATCGATGGAAACAAAGGAAGTCAAAACAGAGTCTCCTACAGTCACTGCCTCGCTCACTTGGGAGCTATGAAAATTTAATCAGGTGGTAAATTTTATTTATTGATACGCGGATATCAGTTACAAAGGCGTAAATGGAGATGAATTTTTCTTTGTTTGTCATCTTTGTTATTGTGGTTCACTGTGCCCAAGGAAAGCGATACCTACAATACATTGTAAATGATAAGCACAATCGAATAAGCGAGATCTTCGATACTTACTCCCGCTTTGCATCTTTTAGCCCTTTATGGTTTAGAACAGGTCGATTCAAAGACTTTACGCTTCCAATAGATATAAAAAGAGGGATTTTGACAAATTTGAAAAAAACCTTGATTTTAAGGCAACTCATAAATTTAACCCTGATTTCAAGTCAACCTTGAAATCAGCCTTAATTAAAAAAAAAAAAAAACATTTCTTGCACATTTTGGAGACAATCTTGATTTCAAGGCCACTTGAAAATTCACAGGTGAGTGATATTCACAATGTCTCACTCATGGCTTCTGAAGAGGGTTGTGAACGATTCTCTTGTCGCGCCATCGGGGTGTTAATTGTTTGTGTGAATATTTTCAAGTATCAACGTTGTACCTTCTCGCAAAGAAGTCGTGATGTGCCTTGATTTGTTCTTCTGTTAAAACAGACTTATCTAATCACTGTGAAAGAAGACTGGCGTGAGAACAGGTACCTGCTTTTTATTAGAAGCCTCTTTAAGACACGCTAAGTTATTTCAAACTTTCAGGGACAAGTTTGAAGAAAGACCGATAGAAACTTCAGGGAAAAATATGCCATATTTATTGATATTAATCGATTATTCACAGGCGCGCGCTTTTTCGATGAAACGTTTTTAAAAAAAAATTATTTTGTTCTTACAAAGACCTGCGCAACAACGTCAGAGTTGTTATGGAAACTTTTTACCATTAATTTTCACAAAATCGTTCACCGTTGAAAACTTATCTGATGCATAAGAAAAGGTTGATCCTTGAATAAGGCATATGGGTCGTGGGTTATAATTTTCATTTTCGATCAAAAATTTGCTTCTTTCAAAGCTTCAACTGTCTCAAAAACGACTTCACGAATTTCTCTTCTATATTTTGGCTTTGAAAGCACATGAACATTTATATGAAACGACGTAATCACTTTTTTTAAGTGAAAAATATAACTTTCTGCGTAAATTAGATTCACCTGCTTTATTTGTCTCACGTGCGGGTTTTTATTTATTTTGAAACGCTAATCTATTTTAAAAATCCTCAGCGTCTGCCATTATGAAATCTTTCGCGTCGAGGTAATGATCAATAGTTCTTTCGATAAATCCCTTCAAACGGTTTACAAATTGCGGAAACCTCTTGTTATTTGTTTTGAAAGATAAATATTCTCTGTCGTTACAAAACTGAAAGATAAATATTCTCTGTTGTAACAGAACCAAAAGGTGCATCTTCCACTTGCTGATTGGTTAAATTGAAACGACTCGTCATGTGACTTAAGCATATAAACTGTTGATGACACGTGGGGGGATACAAAATCTAGACAAAAATTATAAAGACGCTTTTATGTCTTCTGAATTTTTGTCTCGATATAAACAGAGAAAACCCGTATGGCCTCTTGTCAAATTTAAATCTCATTTCGTTAATTATGTTTACGAGTTATCCGATGATATAGTAGAGGTCAGATTGATTTCAACTGGACTGGTATCAGCGTTCTTGATTGAAACGCTCTACGGCTTCTAGCTCTTAGACCTGGGGCCGCTTGGACCGTAAAGCGGTCCCTGGCCCGAAGGGCTTCATTACTTGTTCTTCTTAAAGCGCTCAACCATGAATAAGGTGACTCCCATTATTGGAGGCCATGCATTTTGACCGAGAAAGTTGATCACTGATCCTGCAGTCTTGGAAATGAAGCCAGTTATTGAGCCTATTAGACTTGGGAGAATATCCGAGATCTCACTTCCAAGAGTCTCAAAACCAACCCCAACACCTTTGGCAACAGACTTCAGGCCTCTTGTCAATGCGCTCACAATCACTCCAATCGTTGTTCCGTATGATAATTTGGGGGAAATGATAAGGACTTACTAATCTTAACTCAACCCCAAGGCCTGATTGATGATTGGCTCAAGATTATTAGTTTTGTGTATGAGGGAACAAATGCACTGATCATCCTCGATGATTGCGCTTCTTCGAGAGATGTGAAGCAGAGGACGAATCAACTCGTGAATTTGGCATTCAGCGCAAGACAAAAAGGAATCAGCGTTCGGGTCCTGACACAACAGGCGACAAGCATCGCAAAACCATTCAGAGAGAACACTGCTGCCGTAGTTCTCTTTAACACATTATCTGCCAAGGATATGAGGATCATTTTCGAGGATTACGCGGGTGAGTTGAAGAACAATAAAAAGAAAGAATTGATGCCAAAGCTCTAGAGTGAGAACTATTCACGTCACATATTCTTACTTCTTCATCCCTTCAGTATAAATTTTAAAATTTAACATATAAGACGGATATGATTGAAAGAGACGCTGTTAATGAGGTTCTGAACAATCTCAAGGTTGAACCAGCGATTGATTCGAGCTTTCGGCCCAGCCTCAAAGAGGTAAGGCTTTGGCCCGACCCTAAAGGGGCCAGCTGCTCCGCTGTTCTCGTTGCAAGTTGTAAAACGAAAGAATGATGGGTGAATCTCTCACCCAGAGTAAAGTCAAGTAGCTTTCTGAACAAGATGTTGAGAACTACTTCAAGAGATAGGACGCTTCATTGTCTTCAAAGACTTGCGATGCAATGATTGATACATTTCTTCAGCTCTTATATAAAGCATTGGTTCATTTTCTCCATGTTGACGAAGAAAAACTTCTGATAGACTTGAATGATAACTTCATGGTAAAGAGAGAATTTGGAATGATTGCCGGTGGACTGAGTCTGAAGCATGGAAGGTACATGGCAATCGCAAGTGCGGCTCTTCTCACTCCCTCACTCAAATTATTTCAGTGGCAATTGTCGCTCTCTCACTGGCTGGACTGTACTATAGAAGAAAAGAATGGATAGCGCTCAGTAATAAACCAAAACCAACACAGCGAAGTGAAACATTGCAAAACACACAAACCATAATTCCTGTGAGAGTAAAACCAATAGTTTGATTTTTTTTTCTGTTTAGCAAACAAAATGTTTCATAATAAGCTTGTGAAAACATTGACTGACTCAGCTACCTTGACTAGATTGGCCGCCAGAATTGGATGGGTTGCAAGGAAAGTCATCAAAGAACCGATGGTTGTTTGCCAACAATCTTCTCGTTAGAAATATTTTAATAGACTTGTCTTTCTTTCCGTCTTCTGTTCTTTACAGATGTTAGAAAAGTTGCTGTTGTCGTCACGGATGGATTTAGTTTTATCGGACCCGGAATTGTAAAACTGAGGGCCGATGAACTTAAAAACAGAGGAATCGAAGTGTTCGCAATCGGAATTACCAAAAGAATGGGGGACGACGAGTTGATGAACTTATCCAGCAAACCTGTCCAAAAACATTTCTTAAGGCTAACCGATAAGGACTCAATCGAAAGAATAACTGATAACATTGTCCAAGAAATCTGCAAATAGAGAAACTACTTCCCTCAAATTTGACAGGAAAGAAAGTTTGCATCGTGAATCAGACTACTTGCAAAGTTTTTTGTTAATTTACGCACAATCACAACAAATCAAGTTCTCCGTTTAAAGTCCAGAGAGCCCATAGCACTTTGTGTCTCCACTTCCTCAAAACTTATTATCTAGTAGAAGGTTCCCTTTCCGCTTAAAAGTTGTTCTATATTTGGGTCATCATATCAATCTCGCAATTATTTTCAAAACCATTATTTAATCGTGGTAACTCTGAAAGTACACGACAGAATTTTTCAAAGAATACCTTTTTCAGTCGAAAACCAAATTTAAGAAGTCACTAACCATTTATTTAATTGTAAAAATGTCTGTGCTTGCCACTTGAAACGTAAATTATCATGACATCTTGAAAATCTGATTAAGGTTTTATTTTCCTGCTTTTCCATAACTCGATGCAATTTGTGAAATACAGAAACTACAGCACTGTTTAGAGAATTTCATAACTTGTTTTTGTAACCACGTTTCAGACTCAAGCATCGCTCAGAGCCTTTGGATTGTCCAAACTTTCATCTTGTCTCAGGTTTTAGGAATTCAAGACAATTATTACGAAGTGAAGAAGTGGGAATCTGCAAACCTTACATTTTGAAAACAAAAAAAATACTTCAAAATGCCAAACATGGAATTCGTAAGCCTTCAAGTAGAGCTTAGAAACTTCAACGGAGATTTTGGGAGCAAAAATGTTTATGGTTTAGGAAATATTACGGAAAGCTGGTTGCCATGAAAGATAAATGTTAGCTGCTTTTCTCTCGTGTTTTATCGAATATTCGTCTTTTGTTTTTAATTTTGGAATAGTAAGCTAAAATTTCATATAGATGAAAAATAATGTTGTAATTGTCCTCCGATTATTTCCGTCGAAAAGAAACAAAGTCAGCGGGAAAAATACCAGCTCAAGAGTTTTACTTTTTCATTTTTATTACTTTACATGAAAGAAAAACGAACTCTTTTTTCAGTGAAAGTGATGGTGATGGTGATGGTCAAATTAAAAAGCTGGTCTCAAATAATGCTCCGAAAAGTACAAAAGAGTAAAAAAGAAATTGCTGTCAACGCGTAATACGAAAATTACCAGAAGTAATGAAGCCCATCAGGCGGTTGGTATGTCCACTGATAATTTCCTTTCCTTTCCCTCAAAGCTTCGCTTTTCGGCTAGATATTCACTTCTCGGACAATAAAAGCCAAATACGATACTCAGAACAACTTAATGTAGTTTACTATTGTTAAAATAATTGGATTAAGGCCATTTTTCACCCTGATCACTCTTATTTGCACAACCGAGCTACTGACTAAACAGTTTTTTTAACTAAATGAAAAATTGGGCTTTTCAATCTTTTCTTTTGTTTTAAGTCCTTAAAAAATTGGGGTCACGACGCGTTCTCTAAGTATTTCAGATTTTTAAATTTGTTATCACATCTCGTTCTAGCACACAAACACCTCCACTGTTGCTAAAACACTTTTCTTCCATTTTCTGAAGTTTTCCATGGAAACATATCGTCCACTACGTTTTCCTTTTTTTCGGTTTTGAAGCGAAAAAAGTCATGATTGAGCCAATTTGACTCGCAACATGTAGGGATAAATAGTCCTTCCATAGGACGCGGATAACTATAAATGTAGGAAATGTTGGTCTCTTGCGTGGTCATTGAGAGAGCCGACTCATTCACTCACCCAAGCACACGTGACCATGGCGTGATGCACAATATAATCCGCACTGGCAAAGCGGGCACGGCTCCCTTGTGATAGTTTTCTTGCAAAGTGAAGTCGAATTATTTGAATAAAGGGGGTAAGTTTCAAAAGAAACTGCGTTACTGCGTCGTTAGAGGAGTACAACAAGATAATTTGGTTTTATCAACTGAGTTAATAATGTAAATTGCCCACCGTAAATAGTTTCAAAGCTGACATTTCAAGCGTTGAAACTCTTTACGGTGTACAATTTACATTATCAACTCAGCTGATAAAACCAAATTATTAAATTATTTGAGTTAGTTGATAGGATAGTTGTGTAGGGATTTTTTTTTCTTTCGGAAAAATCTTATGGATATCTAATGGTTTAAACCCGGGAGTAACATCTTGTGAGCTATTAAAATTTAATCAGGTGGTAAATATTATTTACTGATACGCAGAGATCAGATACAATTCAACCAACTGTCGATGAGAAGGTTTAAATGAAGATGTATGTTTTTTTCTTTTTCATTTTTCTTCTTGCCGTGACTCACTGTGCACAAGGTATGCGATGCCTACAATATATTGTAAGTGATACGCAAAGGTGAATAATTGAAATTTAGGATACTTCTCCCTTTCCAATTTTTAACCCTTTGTGGTGTAGAATCATAGGTCGACTTAAAGACATAGTGCTTCCTTTTATTTGTACCTAACAATAAATCTACTAAGAAAAAAGGCTAGGGCGCTATGAGTTAGACAAACTGAGGAACTGAAATAAAATAGGTTTCAATAGAAACGAAAAATATTTCTCGCAAAAGTGATACCTTTTGTAGTGAAAACTGGATAACGAAAGGAAGCAATTTTTAATTTCGTCGCTAACAATAATCCCCCACACTTTTCTACCCTTACCAACTATGTAACGCTAATATTAGACATATCGTCAATCTTGAGTTCCTAAACTTGTTTTTCATCTACAACTGAACTGTAAAATTGCTCAATAGAACAGGTATAAAAATCGTATAAGTTTCTAGTCAGTTTTGGTGATCGTATTACCTTCTATAGAGGATGTGTACGTATGAAGTAAGAGTCATTCAGATATTTGGAGTGGGTGTCCACACTGATTCTTAAACATACTGGTTATCCTTTGTTTAAAAATACACTACCCGCTGCAAAAAATGGAAAAACGTATTGAAGCACAGACTTAACAGCCACCATAGCACAAGAATTGATTTGTGGAAGAGTGTGTAAAATCACGAAAGGATCAGAAGAAATGTGACCTTCCCGAATTACGCAATCGAAGTATTTTTGTATTGAAATATTTGAATCTAATCCAGAAGAAGCCATTTTTTTTTATTAAAGTAGGTGTTTCTGACACGGATTTTTAATAAGCTGAGATATGCCAATGTTAAGAATTAATCTGTTCGCGAGCGCGCGTTGGATACAGGATGGTAAATAGTCAAAGAGGAGAATCCTTATTTACATGTTTCACACATTCACGGACATTAACCTTAGCCTTAGCAGTAATTGCTAAATAATGCTTTGCTCTCAGTGAGAAATTACTTCTAACAGTCAATTACTGTTTTGTTTGATGCTTTTGTTAAATTACTATGTCTTTACTTTTGAATAGGTAAAATAGAGAAATGCGACCGAAAAATTGACCTGGCGGTCGTTTTGGACGTTTCAGGGAGTATAAAAGAAGAAAACTTAAGCCTCGCAAAGAAATTTGCCAAAACACTTCTAAGACGATTCAGAATCTCCAGAGACAACGTTCGTGTGTCACTTGTGGCGTACTCGGAGTCGGTGAAGATCTATTCCGCGTTCGAGGACGACCAGGAGGAAGAAGGGCTTGAGCGAAAAGTGAACAATGTCTTCTTTGAAGGATCTTCCACGGCGACATCGAAATGCTTAACAATATTAAACAGTCGTCTGTTTGTGCAAGAATCTGGGTCAAGAATCAAGGAGCCTGGTAAGTCCTCTAAGGAAATAACATGTCATTGCAGGTCATAGACAAAAGAAAAGATAAAGAAATCGACTTGACTTCGCCCACGGCACTGTAGAATAGGGAAGGAGTATTAATACAAGAACAAATACAATTTTGGCAAGTAACGTGATGAAACGTCATAGCGACGGTCGAACCGTTCTAAAAAGATTATCGTTCTGTTATGATACTTTAATGCTAGTTTATGTAGCTTTCCTTTTCCTTTTGTAGAAAATAGATTTAAAGATGTTTCGGAAATAGCAAAAGTTCGTAAGGCTCACAAAACCATGATAAATAACTTGAGTTGTTTACATTTCAATAGATATGAATATTTGGCCTTTACGTTTTATAAGATATTCATTTGTAAACCTTTTCAAACGTTTGGTTTACTACTGATTTTAGTCATCGTCACAATACAAACTACAATGTTAATAATTGACTATGAATATGTGAAAATCATTTGCGTGAAATGCGGATTATTTATTGCTTCACGGTTTTATTACGAACCAAAAAAATGATCAGCTCCCAGCTAGCTTGTCAGCTCAGTTGGTAGAGCGCTGCACTGGTGTCGCAAAGATCAGGGGTTGAACTCCCGTGCGGGCCGGTTTTTTTGTTTTGTTTTTTTTGTTTTTGGTTTTTTTTTTCAGGCTTTATTTTCCCTAATGATTAAGTAGTATTCATTACTATAAAGATTCCTCATATATTCATTTAAAGTGTTAGTAATCCACTCCTCCTTGGTAGGACTGCGGAAGACTGTATTCATTATTTTGAGGTCAATAATAATGCAGGTTGCATGCAATTCCATCACTTCAATGGTGACCATTAAGCGAAGCTGATGTTTGTCGCAGAGTCTCCAGAGAGACTAGGGCGAGTTTAAGGTTTTGTCAGCTCGGAGACGATATGGGGAGAGAAGTCTCTACTGAATTTGAACTCTAGAGATTTGGACGAACCTTTCGCCCAAAGATTAGTTTACAATAAGGTTTTCTCAGTCGGTTATCTTTGCCAACAATGTTCTGGTTAGAAATATTTTAATAGACTTGTCTTTCTTTCCGTCTTCTGTTCTTTACAGATGTTAGAAAAGTTGCTGTTGTCGTCACGGATGGATTTAGTTTCATCGGACCCGGAATTGTAAAACTGAGGGCCGATGAACTGAAAAAAAGAGGAATCGAAGTGTTCGCAATCGGAATTACCAAAAGAATGGGGGACGACGAGTTGATAAACTTATCCAGCAAACCTGTCCAAAAACATTTCTTAAGGCTAACTGATAAGGACTCAATCGAAAGAATAACTGATAACATTGTCCAAGAAATCTGCA